CGGCGAGCCATGCTGCGGCCGCGCGGTGAAAATGCACTTCCAGTGCCGGCGACGGCCTAGACGTTACACCACTGGAATAATATAGCCATTCGCTCATTAGAAGGCGGAGGAAAAGGCCGAAAAGGACGTAAAACGACCGCAGTGCCAGGCATGCCAAATCAACACCCTCGTGGATCGATTCGTCGCACAAGCGAGGATCGATCGGAGCCTCGCTGAGCTCAACGTGGCGAAATACACCAACGATGACCGTCCAAGACCGTATAAGTTCGTAGAAGACTGCACACAGTGGGCCAGAAGACCGGTAGAGGCGGCCAAAACTCTAGACGCGTTTTGAGCTGCAGAGTCGCTGAACAGGCCTCGAACCGAACGTGTGACCCCACACCAATGGATTGCTCTCCGAACGAGGAATCTATTGGTGGGGTCACACGTTCGGTTCCAGTCCAAGATTCCCCGCCGCGCCGCCCGATGCGCGTCCAGCTGCAGCCCGCAGCCGCTGCCGCGGCCAGATGGTGATGGCCGGCCCAAAGGTCGCGTAGCGCGTCCGCGGCTTCGCGGCTTGAGACGGGCCCAGTAATGATAGTGCCAGCCGGGGCGCTAATGAAGCCGAGTCTCGCTCCGTCTCTCTCGCACTCGCGGGGCGCTGCGTGGGGGCGCGAGGGAGACAACCGCCACGCCGGAGCTGTGAAGCACGGCTCTTCGGCGTAACTGCCGAGACAAGTTGAGATGTATGTGAGAGCCGCATAGACAGCTTCCTCGTGGAGCCTTTCTTTCGCCGCACAGTGGGCCAGAAGACCGGTGGAGGCGGCCAAAACTCTGAACGCGTTTTGGGCTCGCACTCTCGGGGCGTCCCGTACAGGTGCGAGAGAGACAGAGCGACGACAGGTGCGGCTGGCCGCTGCTGCAGCCGGCTGCACCTCGCCATAGGCCGCCATAGGCCGCCATAGGCCGCCATAGGCAGACGGCGAGCAGTCTCCCCGTCTCTCTCGCACCCCCACTGCCCCCACGGCGCGCCCCGCGAGTGCGAGAGGGACGGAGGTACCCTCTCCGCAGCACGCGCAGCGCGTTGCGATGCACCAGGCCTTATTACCGTCATTGCGGCCAAATCTTGTTGTTGTTGTTGTTGTTGTTGTTGTTGGCTGCGGCGGAGCGACAAAGCCATGCAGCCACTCTGCAGCACCCTTCATTTCATCCTCATCGCGAAGCGCCAAGCTGATTGGCCATGCAAAAGGAAAGTTCGGTTTTTCCTTCGCGCCTCCGCCTTCACACACTCGTACACCACAAACTAGAGGGAGCCGCCGCCAAGCAGCGCCAGGCACCGCACGGAGAAAAGGGCTTCGGCTTTCAGTTCCGGCAAATCGGAAAGAAGGACGGTTTTTGACAGATTGATGACTGACAAAAAATTGATAAAACTGAAAAAAAAAAACGAAAGCTCCTATAATTTGCTGCAATTTGCGGTCGTTTTTATTCTGGATAAATTATGACACAACTGTGTCTCTCAGATTGCCCTAAAAGGCAAGTCACACGCGACGCAAAAAAAAAAACGAAGTGTGGACGTCAAAAAAGCGGAGGCAAATTATTGGTAAACAGCGCGTTTCCGCGCCGTGTGCAGCGATAAAAGCACTTCCTTCACAAGGACGCTGGAAAGGCTTTCACTAAGTGGCTGTAAAGCCCTCGCGAGGCTTTCGAGAAGAAGAAGAAGAGGACGGAAAAAAATACAACAACAAGGAAACAAAACGTTCCTCACTTTCCTCCCGGCGGATGTGCGCCACCCCCTCGCCCCGTCTCTCTCGCACTCGCAGCGACTCCCGTGCTGCCGTGCGCGTGCGAGAGAGACAGACGAACGCATTCCTTCCGTCGCCATGACGACAACGCGGTCGCGGCCGTCGCGGCCTTGGGGCGCCGGGCCAAGCCGCCAAGCGACGCCGGCCGGCAGCAGAGTGATTCCGCGCACTGCGGGAAGGCCTGCCGCCTCCCTGTGCGAGAGAGACAGGCCGATACCTCCCCATGAGTGGGAGAGAGACAGCGGGTACGCGGTAGGCCCCTGGGTAGGCCTCCCGGGCCTGCCCGCAGTGCGCGGAATCACACTGCAGGGCGGAGGCAGCACACTGGAAGTCGTTTTCGTCGCTCTGTCTCTCTCGCACTCCGTGGGCACCCCTGTAGGTGCGAGAGACACAGAGCGACGAAAACGACTCGCAGTGTGCAGGGCGCCGCCAAGCAGGCCGAGCAGACCACTCTCGTGCCCCCGCGCGTGCAAGTCTCCAGAGTCCCCGGCACACTGTGCGGCAGCCAGCAGGCAGGAGTGGGCACCGAGTGTTTACCGGAGTGCTTCACCTAAATCCCACCGCGCGTGCTTCTGAGTTAGAGCAGGCCGACTGTAAATTGGAAAGGCCCGTCTCTCTCGCGCCCCTGCGGAGCGCCCCGCGAGTGCGAGAGAGACGGAGCGCCCGCCTTGTGATACAAAGTAACGCCACCACCAACACGTCCTCACCGAGCCCCCCGGGGCGGGAGAGGCCCCGGGGCGTCCACCAGTGCCCCAGCCAGCCGGCAGGTCTCCGCTCCACACGGAGACGACTCACCTGTAACAAGGAAAAAGGTTAAGTCAGCGGGTGAAAGGTTGTCCTGACACTGCCAGTCGTGTAGTACACTGGTACACTGGCGCACCGCAGACTGACCCTCGGGCCGGCCCGAGCCGCGACGCCGCCCGGGACGAACTTTACTTTCTATGGGAAGAGCCCCAAAACAGCACACAGACAGTGTGTCGACATCGCAGCATCCCAGCCGAGAAGGCTTGACCGCGCCAGGCAACCCACTTCGGTTTCGGCCCAGTTTCTTTTCCCAGTGTAGCCGAAGACAAACGCCTGCCCGCCAAATTGTTCGAGTAGAGGTCGGCAGAGCGTCTAACTGCGCGGCTACTTGAATGCCAATTTCATTACGCTAACGCGAGCAAGCCCGCCACCCTTCCCCACCTCACACTTAGCTGACCCACATCTACAAATACTTATCGGAAAATAGCGTGCCCAGATTTTTGAACGCGTCATAATAAAATTACAAGCGACAAAGGTAACCGCTCGGGCGAACGTAATTTTTGTTGTTGTTTTTGTCCTTTTCTTCGCTTATCGCTACAATATCTGGCCCCACCATAGGCCGCCCGTAAATTCAGCGCAGTTTCGCGGCGCGTTGGGCCACGCTGGGCCACGCTGGGCCTTCGACTGGGCCCGGCCGGCCCCTTCGCAGTGAAAGGAAAATGGCCCAACGCCTCGCCACTCTGTCAGAAATTGAAAAGCGGGCGTGGGTTCGAACCCAACCTCCCCCCTGCGGCTCAACCGTTTTTCTTATTTTCATCTTTCTTTTTTTTCTCTATCTCCATCCTTGCCCTAGGAGTCGCGGGACTGGGACGGAGCGGCCCACGCCAATGGGTTCGGAGTCAATGCAAACCGGGCGCCCCGCCCCGCCCCGCCCATGGGAACGCCATGTGTCGCTGGACGTAGCGGGCGGCGCGTCCACTGATTCCATCCGCGTGTTATGGCGGGAACGCCGGCGCGGCTCGGCTCGACTCGTGTGTAGCCACGCAGCCACGCACGCGTGCACAATTCGCGTGTGAGAAAGTCCCTGGGCGATTGCTATGGAAATCCGCACCACGGCCGTGCGCTTCGCGCTTCGCGTGCTGGGCTCGCGCTTCCAGTGTGGCGGCGCTGGTGCCACGCACTCGTTTGTACCGACGGCTCGCCAGCCAAAGTAGTGCGGAAACGGCACGGCCGCCGCCGGTACTTGAACCCGTGACCCCGCGGACAACCGCGGAAGCCGCTCGGCCAACGCGACGCGAATCCCCGTGACGGCGGCCCTACCCTGCCCGCGACACACGCAGTGTACGCACCGGCGACACTTGAGCCGCCATCGACGCTTTGCGCGGGCCTACACTGCTTTGCGCGGCGGTACGACGTCGTGCTTTACTGGCCGTTGCGTCACCGGGACCGGGAACGGCACCGCGACGGCGGACGACGGGCACCCCGCCGCGTCTGCCGGGACAGGCTCCACCTGCAGCTGCGGACTCATTCCGAGAGTCGCTTTCGTCGCTCTGTCTCTCTCGCACTCACGGGGCGTCCCGTAGGGGGTGCGAGAGCGACAGAGCGACGAGAACGACTCTCGGCACCAGTCTGCAGTACGTCGTCGTCGTCAACGACCCCGACAGTCACACTGCAAAACGATAAAATTGAACCGCCACTCCGCTCTCCGCCATGCACGGCATGCGCCTCGCCGCGCGACCGGCATAGTAAAAGCAAAAGGCAGCCGCCGCAGCCGCACAGTGGGCCAGAAGACCGGTGGAGGCGGCCAAAACTCTAGACGCGTTTTGAGCTCCAGAGTCGCTAAGCTGGACTCGAATCGAACGTGTGACCCCACCGATGGATTCCTCGTTCGGAGAGCAATCCATTGATGGGGTCACACGTTCGGTTCGAGTCCTGTTTAGCGACTCTGGAGCTCGAAGCGCGTCTGGAGTTTTGGCCGCCTCCACTGGTCTTCTGGCCCACTGTGAGCCTCCGGCAGACTCAGTTCAGTCTAGCGGCGAGGCGAGGCAGTGCTGCGACTCCCACTTGACATGCTCTTTCCGTCCACCCGATTTATGACTAATTAGTTTCCGTTCCCATTAAAAATGCTAATCCCGACCGCACTCGGGATTGAGATAACATCGTCGAAATTCCCTAGGCGAAAAAAAAAACCACCACGAGTGTTGCGGAACTACGCGCGCGAGACACACTAGTTTGTTGATGGTTTGAATGAGGTGCGTCCGGAACACAACCTCAAACCCGGTGTCATTCCGATTCCGTCAGACCCAGGCCGGCCCCGCCCCCTCCCCAGAACAACAAAGCTCTCCCTCACACACACTAACACAGTCATTTCCGGCGGAGCCCGAACATCGCCAAGTTGCCGCAAAAATGCCACTCTGTCACAAAAAACGACAAGTTGGCCGCGTTCTTGCGACTCTGGTCGCCCCGCCGCCTTACCTTCGGGCGTCCAGCAGTCCGTGCAGTCCTGGCAGAGCGCCGACCAGTCCAACTGCAGCTCGTCGAAGGAAGCCATGCCCGCGGTGTGGGGCCTTTTGTCAAAACAACAACTCACTAACACACGCTCACTGTCCGGTCCGGCCGCCTTGGCCCGCGCCCCGTCACGCGCACGCACTCGACCGAGAGGCCCACGCCATGCCTCAAAGCAGGCCGAGCAGGCGGAGCAGGTCACAACGGAGATAAGTCGACACGCCACGCGCGCGCACACAGTGTGCCACACACGCCCGCCAGCCGCCGCCGACGACGACAACTGTCTTGTCTCGCAGCGTCGTGCCGCCACTGCCGCCGCACCGCCAGCGCCACCGGCCCGGCATCAGCTGTGGCGCGCCGCACAGTGGGCCAGAAGACCGGTGGAGGCGGCCAAAACCCTGGACGCGTTTCGAGCTCCAGAGTCGCTGAATGGGACTCGAACCGAACGTGTGACCCCACCAATGGATTGCTCTCCGAACGAGGAATCCATTGGTGGGGTCACACGTTCGGTTCGAGGCCTGTTTAGCGACTCTGGAGCTCAAAACGCGTCCAGAGTTTCGTCCGCCACCACCGGTCTTCTGGCCCACTGTGCGGCGTGGCGTGGCGTGGCGTGGGCGAGGCGAGGTGCGGCGGCCCGTTCGAATGTCGCCGGCGATCAGGGACGCGCCACGTTTATTATTAACAAGGCGCGGTATCAGATTTCCTTTTCCTGTCCGCGCACTCACACACACACTCACACATGCACACACCCACACCTGTCGCAACACGCGTAAGTCGGTAAGCCGTCCAAATCTCTCGAGTGCGTCGGCCTAGAGTCCTACTTGCCGCCCTACTTGAAGGACCCGGCGTTGCTGCAGCTCCTTCTGAAGGAGTGCACGCGGCCCAGCTTAAATTCCACCTGGAATTTCCTGGATTTCCTTGTTTCCATCTGGATTGCTCATATCCATATGGTTTATTTTCCATGAAAGGGTCATTTCCATACCAGGCTGCTGTCGGAAATAAGGGTTCCAGATGGGAAAATTTTTTTTTCCCTAACGGTTTGAGTAACCCAGAATGGAAATTGTATTCCACTGTGGAAAGTCTGATTTCCATAGCGAGATTTCCACAATGGATTTTACTAGAAATCCAGGATGGATTTATCATTTCCAGACTGGATTTTGTAAGCTTTGACCGCTAGGTGGCGCTAGTGTCGCTTTTTTGTCCTGAAGTAGATAAAAGGCTCTCCTAGCTCAAAGAAAGTGCCCTCATACTTCCGAATAGGTGGATTCTGAACGGTATCCATGAGAGTTATGAATCCTTATGTGAGTGATGTATGTGTCAGTATTACAGGCTGAGATTTTTATAATCTAAGTTATCTCTCGCTTGTGACCAAGGCTCCCAATTTCCCTAGTCGAGGAAGTCTAATTCCAGAGGACATGTGACAAATCCAGTACCATCTGGCACATCAATCAAGTTTTGAGGCAGTGGCACTTGCACCTCTTTGGTGTCTGCACCATTGCCGAGCTGGCTTTAGCTTATCTACTTGATAAGCTTGCTCTAAATACTCAACTAATTCCTGCTTGAATCAGTATGAATACGTGAAAAGAATCCATATTTTGAGAAATTGGGGGACCACAGGGGGCACGCTCCATTCTAAAGTCACTGCGATTAGCAGTGTTAAAGTAAGCCTCTTTTTTACAAATAAACGAGTACAGTATTTTGGAGTGATTTCCATTTCCACAGATGTGTAAATCCATACTGGAAATCGGAAACCCACAATGGAATTCATAAAATTCCAGATGGGAAAACGTTCCAAATACCAGCTGGATTTCAGATCCCTCTGGATTCTACTTTCCACAATGGAAATAAATCCAGACCAATTTCCAGGTGGAATTTTAAGCTGGGGGGGCCAGGGTGAAACCCTGCACATCCAAGCCGTCGCACAGTGGGCCAGAATACCGGTGGAGGCGGCCAAAACTCCAGACACTTTTCGAGCTCCAGAGTCGTAAAGCAGGACTCGAGTCGAACGTGTGACCCCACCTCGTTCGGAGAGCAATCCATTGGTGGGGTCACACGTTCGGTTCGAGTCCCATTTAGCGACGCTGGAGCTCAAAACGCGTCAGGGATTTTGACCGCCTCCGCCGGTCTTCTGGCCCACTGTCCGAAGGTCCAAGGGTCCTTCCTGAGCGGACGAATAACGCAACGCCATAGAGAGGCAATACGGGAGCGGCGCGATCCACACATCCATACACGTCGCGGCGTCGGGGCTCGCAGCGGAAACGGAGACGAGACAGGTGCAGCGCGTCGCAGCGCGCGGTCCGGCGCAGCGGCCGGTCTCTCTCGCTCACATGCGGGCCGCCCCGTGAGTGCGAGAGAGACCGACGGCAGCGCGCCATTGAGCGTGGAGCAATGCAAGGCTGGGACGGGGCCGGGCGCTAAAGGCTTAGCACCATGTGCGCCCAAGGGCGGCGCATCGCGGCATCGCGGGTTCGAGTCCCGGCCGCGGCAAACTTTTTCTTCTTTTCCTTTAGTTGGTTGCGTATAAATTCAAGAAACCGATGGATCAAAACAATTGCCAGGCTCGGTATTTGAAAGCGGCTGGTACACTGACGGGCAATCGGCGTCTGTCTCTCTCGCACCCCTTCGGGGCGGCCCGCGAGTGCGAGAGAGACAGAGCGACGAAAGCGACTGTCGGATTGTCCCTGACCACACGACGACAAACAGTGGCCGTAGACCGCACGGCGCGACCGGCGACCACAGGCCGAAGCTGCAGCCAGCCGCGTCGGCCCCAGTCGGCCGCGATTTCCCGCCATCACTTAGCAGTGCTGCCACCTGGTTCCACCTGGTTCGCCCCGTCTTTCTCGCACTGGGGCGGCGTCCCGTGGGGGTGCGAGAGAGACAGCGCTGCGCAGCTCCGCACGTGTGCTCGCGATGGCCGGCAAGGGCATGCTGGTGGCGAGGCAGGCGAGGCTGACGGCGTGGTCCATCCGCGGCAAGCCTGGCCAAGCCTGGCCAAGCCGTCGTCTGCTTTCCCCGGCACACTGCAGTTTGCGCGCGACCGGCCGGGCCAGTTCGGCGGCAGTGCCTTGCAGTGCCTGGGCAGTGCGCCCTCCCTGTCGCGAGGCTAGCCAGGCTAGCTCGTCGCTGATTGGTCGGCGATCGCCCAATCGCCAGCTAATTGCCAGCCAGCGAGCCCCTAACGATGCCCGGCACGCTCTGCGACGCGCTGCCGCCTCGCCTGTCAGGAAAAGACACTAATCTGGTCGCCCGGCCGTGCCGTGCCCTGCGCACTGCAGACTCATTCCGGGAGTCGCTTTCGTCGCTCTGTCTCTCTCGCACTCGCGCGGCGTCCCGTACCCGTATGGGTGCAAGAGAGACGGGCCGCGCTGGAACTGGAATGGCCGTTTCCGTTTGACGTAACGAGGCGCCGCAAATGCACAGAGTCGCACCACCCGCGACCCCCTGCAGAGACGGCGCGCCGAGGCACTGGAAGTCCGACCACTGCAGTGGGCCAGAAGACCGGTGGAGGCGGCCAAAATCCTAGACGCGTTTTGATCTCCACAGTTGCTAAGCAGGAATCGAACCGAACGAGTGACCCCACCAATGGATTCCTCGTTCGGAGAGCAATCCATTGGTGGGGTCATACGTTCGGTTCGAGTCCTGCTTAGCGACTGTGGAGCTCAAAACGCGTCTTCCGGCCCACTGTGCACTGCTCCCAAACGAAGACCCAGAGGCCTGGTCATTGGCACTGCGGCCGCCTCACCGAAGGTTACTAACATGGGTGCCAACCCCACAGAGTCGCCAGCCACCACGGCCACCGCAGCGGCCTAAGACTTGAAGTGCGCGGGGGCAATGCGGTGCTCACCGCCTCCATCATCCACAGCCTCATTCCCCCAGAGTGTCGACACTCCGATTGCTCGTCGCGAAGGGCGCCTCGCCTCGTCCAGGGATTGGCTGGCCGGGCCGGCCGGGCCGGCCTCGGCCTGGCGGTTGGATGCTTCGATGCGTTTCCAAACGTCGCCGTCCTCTCTGGCCCTGACCCTCGCGGCGCCGCCAGCCAATCCAATCCGAATCCGAATCCATGCCTACGGCGGCGCGGCAGGGCGCGGCACGGCACGGCATGGCACGGCGGCACCCAAGCCAATGAGTGCCTCCAGGACTCCGGGACCTGCTAACCGCACGCCGCCATCACGTCGCGGCGATGCAGCCGTTTCACAAGCCTTTCGCGACAAGCCGCAGCGACGCGCGCCAATCATTTGGCAAGCGCAGAGTCGTGGGTTCAAATACCCGCATTATTTTTATTTTTTTCCTCGTTTTCCTCGTTTCCTTGTGTCCGCGCTGAGGACCGGTGTCCGCGGGGCGGTCGGCAGCCGGCGAGGCAGATGGGACATCGCGTACGCCGAGATCTCGGAACACACGAGGGACGGACCACTAACCGTGCCAGCGCGCTGTTTCCCTCTGTGTGTGTGTGTGTCTGTGTGTGTGTGTTGTGTGTGTGTGTGTGTGTGTGTGTGTGTGGTGGTTGTCTGTGTGCGTGCGCTTGGCCGGCGCCCAGAGCATTGTGCCAGAGGCGCCGATGGTCGCCGATGCAACGCGAGGAGGGCATGGCCGGGCATGGCCTCTCATGGATGCCATTGTTCGCTTACTTGTCGCCTCAACGTGAAAAAAAAATTAATCAACACTAAAAAATTTATACAATCCACGATTTTTCTCCTCCTCCTTCTTTCTTTCAGGTGCGGAAACCGATAGTTAAACGATGTCGGGGAAAGGCGAGTGAACGAGAACCTGTCTTTAGGCAGCTGTGAATGAGTGACGAACAAGTCTACGCGTTTCGCGATGAGGCCCGGTCCCCGTCCCGCCCCGACGCCGCATCTGACGGAAGTAAGTGGTGCTGAGGGGAAGGACGGCCGGCCGCGGTGCTCGGTGCTTCCCCGCCCCGCCGCGCCGCGCAGTGCCGCGCCACGCACTGGTTCGGCCAGTTTCCGACAGATGGAGCCATCTGTCCGTTCGCATCGTGGTTCACATCCCGCCGTTCCCCCGACGCGGCCGCCACTTTTGGCACCGGACCAGCACACTGATTCCGAGAGTCGTTCTCGTCGCTCTGTCTCTCTCGCACCGACACGGGGCGCCCCGTGAGTGCGAGAGAGACAGAGCGACGAAAACGACTCTCGGAATCAGTCTTCCCCTCTGCTGACTGTCTCTGTCGCACACCGGCCCCACGAGGACGGCGTGTCTGTGTTGACGTTGTGACTCAGTTTTCTGTCGTTTTTACTGCGGCCGTTTACCCCCGCGGAGACTTGAACCCGCGACCGCGGCGTGGCGGCGCGG